ATTTCTAAAAAAACTCTCACACATTTTCCACTTCCACCATCATTATCCCCAAAGAGTGCTCTTCACCTAATCCCTGGCCTAATCCTGCGCTGCGCTGACTGAGTAAGCTGTCTTTCAACGGAATACACACTTGACAAGAACTTACCCATATATTTATCACACATCTGGAGCAATTTGCCTTGTGAACTTATGCATTGGAACTCACCTGAAAAGAGAGAAAAGCAGAAGTTAGTTACTAAAATCGAGACACTGGTGTCAGAAATGGGATTTTTTAGTGGAAAGTCAAAGCGACGGAAGAATTTTCTCGATAAAGTGACTGTTTGCTTGTTGCACAACCCCTCAGAGTTGCCACGGAACACCTGAGGACGCGACAGAATCGTACTATGAACCTTGAATAACCTTCAGAATGTACTTCTCAACTAGAAGCACTGACGGTGGAATATTCCTCATCATTCATGCATGCTGTTTAATTTGTCTAGCGGAAAATTATTATTTTTCCGTCATACTTTTCATACCAACCACACACTCTCTATTTCATCCTTCACATGTGACCGCCCACGATACCTTTACCCAAACCTCTCCTCAAAGCAGCGGCTATCGTGATAACAGAAAATATTGTGAGGTCTCATGGGAGGAAGTTCGCTCTCTTTTCATGCTTCTTTGTGAAACTGCATGAAATATGAGGGATGATGGGACAAATCACAACATTGGAATATTTTTCTCATGCAATCCAACAATATCGTCACTCACACTCCGCGACAGTGGGAGTCCATGGGGTCCCATTGAACCGGGAAAAGGTCACCTAACTTTGTCAAACCTCACCCTCGAGGCGACCACAGCATTTTCATTGAAAGTGCAATCGTCAGAATACGATATGAAGCAAAAATTCTCCCAACACAACATTTCGCTTTGTTCCCTTCGCCACACTAATACAACTCCTTCTCGCTTCTCGTTAAACATTAACCATGTATAAAGTGAAATTTTCCCACCGTTGCTCACTTGGGGAAGTTGTCTCACAGTGAAGGTGTCTCGAAAATTGCGACAAAATAGCATGCCAACAGCGTGAGATGCTCTCTCTAAAGGGTTGAAATGTGCACGAATCTCACCCATCTCGTTCTCCTTCACAATAGATGCCTGGGACTTGTGCTGGGAAAAGTTGGCATCTGGAAGTTTTCCATTGAGCTAATGGACACCATAATTTAGTCCTACCTTCGAACCCTTCTCTTTTATCCCGCACCAATCGTCTTCCGCCTCCGACCCGGAAAAGCATCCATTTTCAGCCTCTAAAGTGCCTCAATATTGAAGTATTAAAAATTTACAAGAGACAATTTACGTGAATACACAGAACAGGCAACATATACATGTTCATACATATGTAGAGCCACCCTTTCGAATATTACGTAAATTCACTGAATTAGTGCCCAAACTCTAGGGGTTGTGATGAATTTTCATAGGAAAAGTGTATAATCTCAATAATTCTCTTTCATCCACACTATAGCGTATTAATTCTCTCAGTTTGTCACTCAACACCAACGCTTTCCGCACTGAATCCTGGGAAAATGTATCGTTGAAAGAGCTTTTGAAGCTTTCGCTCAAGGTAAGCATTTTGCTATAATGCAATGTACATCAGATACGTGAGAATTTAAATTAACATTGATGTCGAGCTACGAAAGAACGAATTTAAACTTTTATTAACCTTCTACATGATTTAAGAGCTTACCAAGAGTGAGAATACAAGAGAAAGAGTATTTTTTCCTGGGTTTATTGCAAAGGAATTCTCGGAATTCCCTAAAAAATTGTTCAAGTGAAGAAAATATCAGCGCGAAAGTATGACAAAGTGCTGGTTTTGTGCAGATTTTTTTTTAAATCAACAAATTTGCCAGTAGATAATATTAAACTCCTTAGCTTTGACCGTCTTTCCAGGTCAATGAAGAATTTCAATGGGATATTCGCCGAAAGGTGATCAATAATGCCTTTGATTATGGGATCTTTGAAATAATGCAAACTGAATGTTTTCCATTGATTTATGTATTCTTCCCTGCCTTGCCAACCATAAACTCAAAAGGCTGCCCGGAAAGTCAATATTTTTCCTTGTCGAAAATTTTCTCCTACGCGGAAATGTTTATTGTGGGATTTTTGGGAAAGTCGCCAATTTGCATTAAATGGTAATCAAGGGTACACCTCACATCTCAACCGTATACCTTAGACTCTCATTAAGTTCATCACTGTGCGAAAGAGGGTAATACATGAATTTCGTGCCGTAGGAAGGCCAGAAAGGCAAAGAAAGCACTTCACATTCGGTGTTTTCCTGGAAATACATTTTCATGTTACTTTCCAGAAGAAGAAAAAAGAAGGAAAAGATTTTCTTGTATAGAATTTTCTAACGAACCACCCAAGAAAATTCTTGATAGCATTGTAGAAAATATTGGCAGCATTAAGCGCGTTCGAGAACCTTTTCACTTTCAATGGTCCGCCTAAGAAGCTCATGTGAAATGATTCCTTCAAGGAACTCAACGAGGGAAGAAATCATGTACAATCCATGCCCACTTGAGTGGTCTGGGTGGTGCTCATTTCTCAGGAAAATCATCTAATTCATCGGCGAAAGCACTCAGTGGAATTATTTTCGTCTAGCTGCTATATATTTTCATTCTCATGCGGCACACACACACACACCCCTCGGCGAGGGGGAAAGCTTCACACACAGCGAAGAGCGAGAGCAAATCACATATTTGCCCAAAAATACATGCCAAAGCTCTGCCATGGGGATCCACCATCGATACCAATTCAGTCTGCGTGAGAGGGTGGCGGCGGAGTGGGTGTTCGGGGGTTCCGGCGATGCCCGCCTGAAAAAAATTCAGGGTGGCACAAGGCACAGTCTGGCGTCTGACATTGAAATATGCCTCCACCTCAGCTCCACTTTCTTTCCTCGTTGCCCGTCGCACTTCTCTGTGTTGCTGCCTCAAATTTTCTAAATAGACATGCTCTCTCGCTGGCGAAAAAACACCCAGTGATACCCAATTGATATCTGCCTATGTCTGCCGTGAAGTGTGCGGCTCTGAGGGTGGGGAAGGTGCTTTCTATTTTAGATGCGGTCGCCCTCGCAGCACGAATTAAATTATATTTCATCTACCGAAAGCCACAATGGGATTAAGTGAAGAGATAACAGAACAAATACACGTATAGATGAGTAGCAAGCCGCAAAGCAGTCCTGATTGAATGCAAAATACCGCCACGTGGACGAAAATTCCTTCTAAGAATTCCCAGAAAATGATCTCCACAGGAATTTGTCATTGAAAAATGATTCAGACATTTCGCACAAGGAATATTAAAAAAAAAATGCCTTCGAGCGTCTTCAATTTTCACCCATGACAGTGTCAGATTGTCTAACAGTATTCCCATGGATTCTTGTGAGACACTCTGGTTATTGGAAAGATTTTTAAAATGAGAGATTTTGTTTTTAAAATATCCCACAGACTTGCGAAGAATTCCAATCAAATTATCACAATACACGATTTTAGGCCTAAAACAGCGCACAATGTTTGATTAATTTTCAATTACATATTTTTACAATCACACGCGCGCGAGTGCAATTTTTTTTTACCCTTCACAAGGAGAACTTTCAAGGTTAAATCTGTGCTGGGAATTTTGGCAAATTTGCTCAGAAGCACGCGGAGCAGCAACTTCTCGACAACTTATCAATTAGGTTCTATCAATATCTTACTGGCTGTTGCTCCAGCACCTCCGCAGTCTCCATAGGAGCGTCTATTTGGATTGAATCAAACATTTAGGAGCTTATGAATTGAAAGTGAGGTGTTTGTTTTTTCATTAGGCTTTCGGGTGAGAGGATCTTCGCTGTGCTCTGTTGCCATATACGATGTACAAACAACTCTGCAAAGTGGTCCAAATGATGGGAAAATGAAGATGCGCAGGGTGGGTGTCTCAATTTCACTTTGGGCTGTTTTTCTGGTATTTCCACCGCTCGGTGGAGATGCTTTCGCTGTGCCCAGCAACAGGCCAAAAATCGTTTTTTTTTTTCCTTTCTCGAAAAAGGTGAAAATCTCTGTGTTGTTCACTCTGTGTGTGTCCCTGAGGCGCTGAGAACCGATTTTTTGCCTTGCCACTGACACGAGCAACTGCCTCTTTGTCACCTCGCGTCTCTTCCTCCTTCATGGCCAAAAGCTCGCCGCAGGAGCTTTTTCTGCTCAAGAGCACGCGGAGGTAAATTCATCTGCTAATGAGTCGCGTGAGGGTCAACGGTGGAAAGTTCACCGCAGGTGCGGAGGGAAAGCGCAGCGTGGGCGGAGAAGCCACGGTGCTGCAGTACCCGCTAAGTATAATAATAAATTGAAATTAGCCTCAACCAGACAATCCCACACTCCGCCAAGCCGCGAGCACTTCAGCAATTTCAGCCCAAAAGCGAAGGGATGGTTCCGAATGACTTGTCAAAGTTTTATTATATTCCCATCATGATTTGGCCTGGAGGGCAACAGATGGAAATTTCAAATGTGCTCCTCGTCTGCGCCATCGTCTGCCACAAAATATTCAACGAATATTAAATCTTCATTTCTTTTGTGCCGGGCCAAAAAGGCTCCCTCAATGTGCCTCTCCGACAGCAAACATTAGACATTATATTAGCACAATTTCTATTTTAATTATTTATTGCAAGGGGATTTTTCTCACACCGACGCAAACAACGGATCTCGGGGTGGGGAAAATGGAAAAGTTGCCACGCCACCCAAATTCACTCCTCCGCCCCAGAAAAACCCATCGACCTTATCATGAGAATGAGGGATTCTTTTCATCTCACGACTTGGTACACTTGATTATCGATGTCTAGACATATTGTTCCGAATTAATTTTAGGGATTCATTCCATTCACAACAACTCATAAGCGCACACTTTCCTCGTGTGCATAGACAAGGAGAAAATAGGAGAGAAATGATCGCTTTCGTGAGACATTTTCATTTTATCCAATTTTCCACTTGACATTTCATACACTGTCATGCAGAAGCCAGTCGCCTCTTCAGCATCTCAGGGTAGAATTTCTCCCATCTCGCCTTGCCATGGCACGAGGACATTCTTTCCTTCCAACACACATCGCGAAATGGCGAAGAGCGATGTAAATTAGCAAATATTTGAGGAAATATATTTGAGATATATTTCAATACAAACGTCAACTGTCCTAAAAACATATTAACATATTAAATTTTAATCAAAATTCAATACAAAATTTTAAGGAAATTCCTCATGTTTTGAGAGCCAACAAGGAAAATGTGATTTTCCAATGAACGTTTTTAGCAAAGTGTGTGCAGAGAATTTCTAGTAATTAAATTGAGTTAAGACATTATCAGAAATCCAACTTCCGTTTAATGGCACAAGTGAAAAGGTTTTCACGATATTCGGCACAGATGGCATAAAAAGCTTCCCAGTTTTCTGCGAGAGTCACACGAAGGAAACAAAAAAGCCACAACAAAGTCGTAAATTTTTATTTCATATGACAGACAATGAAAAAATTCCCCGTAGCAAATTCATGAATTATTTAGTAATAAAAATTTTTCATCAGACAGAAAATATTTTCTTTCACAGTCACGACACCACCCCAAAAGAGTGGTTGGTCAGCCATTGGACTGGATTGGGTGGAGTCCATGTGAAAGTTTATACAATATTTTGCTAGACACTCACTTTTTTATCGCGCGCGCTGGCTTCTCATCGCCCTCGCCGCACTATTTTATTGCCACGAGGGGTTGTTTGGTCGGAAAAAATCAGTGGTTGATGGCACAGAACCGTCAAATACTCCATGATGAGACTTGGGCGAGAGGCGAATGATGCTGACGAGAGTCGCTGGGAAAGCTCGCCGCTCTGGTGCGGAGCTTTGCATACAAATTTGATTGCATGCCATTCCCTAATCCGCCACCAAAGCATATCATTTCCCACTTGTGCTGCCCCCCCCCCCCCGCCTCCGCCCCAGCTGCAGCCGAGGGAAAGTCCCTCTATCGCTCTCCCTCTCTCGGGAAAAGTGTGGGTCGTGCCGCCCCCTCCCTGAGCGCTGCACATCACAACGAGCGAGGGTGGAAATGGGTTTTTTCACTTTTCGCCCCCAAACCCCATCATCATCGAGACATGGAGAGACGGAATACCAGAAAATAGTGTAACTTGTGCAGTCTTAGAAAGTGTTCATCGCAATTTAACTCGGGTGAGACTCGATGCGCTTACGGAGCCGCGTATAAATGCAATTTATATGCTACGTCGTCTCGTGTTTGAACAACTTTCTCTCTCGTTTACTTTTTCCGTTCGTGGCTTTTCATTTGACGGTAATGTACATAAATAAAGTTCACATTTTTATCATACCCAATTTGCACTGGGGCTGCAGAGAATCCGATGCCACAGGATGCAGCATTGGGATAATGGGGATGAAACAAACACTGTGCACTCCATTATTTCGCCACCGCTTTCATTTTTGATGATTCACTGATTTTCCCCGCATGAAACTTTTCACAATGCACATTTGCACTTGCTCTTTGCCGCGGATTAAATTCCCTTGTCTTTCGCCAAAGGTTACCATGTAATTTGTCTGTATATAGCGAATTCAGGGATGATATATAATATGTTAATTAACTTTTTACTGGTATTTTAAGCAGATATAAAAATGTCTGTCAAATCCTTAAAAATGTAGTCAAAAATTGTTTATAAAATTGCATACTTAATGTGGGAAATTAATTAAGAAAAAGGACTTTAACTGTCGTTCTGACGGTCTTGTTCCTTGTTCACATTCTAATATCTAATCAGAGAAATTGTGCTGTGTTTTTAATAATACAAAATCCTTTATTTTTATTTCAATTTTTTCAATCTATAACACAATATTTGATTGTGAACCATAATAAAACAGATTTGTGCTTATAATTGGAAAAAATAACTCTGACGATTCTCATACTTTTGCTGCGACAGCAGTAAACTTTAACAATTGCAGTATATTTTTCCACTAAAATATATCATAATGTATAGCAATGGAAGAAGAAACAATTCCAACTGTCCAAATTCATGTGTATATATAGTGAAATATTCGCCGCGCTGTCTCTGGGACAGAGGATGCGATTTATGTGTGACTGCGAGAAGAAAAGGAGATGTCGGGTGACATCAGGAGCAAAAAGAGCAGGAAAATGAATATGTCAGAGGAGGAAATTCAAGGGATTAAGTCTCCCAGATTAGGCGACACTTGGTCGCGACGCATTCCAAAGTGAAAACTCAGAAGCTTCGCCTTTCCCACCCAGATGAGATTGTGAGGGTGTGATTACTAGAAAAACATCCCGACATATGTATTTGATGTCCTCTCCAAACTTATATAGCACGAATGCTCCTCATTGACGACAAGCCACAAGAAATGCGATGGTGCTTTTCTATTTTCCCACCAATTTATCACTTCGCAGTGGAGTTTATACCCTGGCACATCTCTGGCAGGAATAAGAAGTAAAAGAATGTCCCCTCGTCGAGAGTGAAAGTTCATTTGGCCAGGAGTTTGGGGGGAAATTCAATTCACACACATTTCGACTTTTCTTTGCGGGGTGTGCGCTTTTCGTGCTGAGAAAGAGCAGACACCGAGCATTTTCAGCAATTGCAATTCACACACCACTTTTCGTATTGGACGATGATGTGATTTGGCTGAATGGGACTTTCGTGTGGAAACCACGATAGTATAATCGCCAGAAGGGCGAGATAAGGAGACAGAGTTGTGCTGGAATTGTCTGTCTGTCTGTTGAAAATGAAATGCGGGAGCCAAATCAATATTTATGGGCCAATAAAGACCCAAGGAGATTATATTCGCAAGCACAGTTGCAATCGCGCTGCGTCTCAAAACTTTATGCGTGGGTGGATTTCCCGTCCAATCAGCAATCTTCCTAGTTTTTCAATTCACTCTGCGGGCTATTCAGAAAGCTTCTTTTTGGGGGCGAAAAGTTAGCCATGTCAAGAGGACTTTTCATCTGCATGGTCGTTCATTAAATATTTTAGAGAAAATTTGCCCTTCTTCTCTGCTCGCTTAATGAAATTGAGCAATTTTCTCTCACTTCATTCGCCAATGGGTGAATTTTATTTCTCCTACATTATTATTTATGCATGAAAATTCAAAGCATGGGATAAACTTTTTCTCTATACAAGATGAATTTCTCTTTGCCGGGGAGTTTATTTTCGGGAAAAAACTTTTCCATCTCTTGTACACTGAGATTGTGGCATTATATAAGAAAAGGGAAGAGAGAGAGAGAGAGAAGAAAAAAACCTTCGGGATATCTTAATTGAAATATTTGACTTTTCCAAGAGAGAAACCAGTATTAACTCAAAGGTTTCACTTGACTATGTGGGAAATCTTTGATTTATACAGTAAATTCCTCTCAGTGAAGGAGTTTTCTCTCCTGGTTTTCTTCTTTTCATATACTTTGTATTTAGCTGAAGTTGTGCTTGTATGTATAAAATATCATTTCTCTCCCAGAAGCAATGGATGTTGCCTTGCTTCAAGTAAATACACCCCAGCGCTGGTGGAAACAACAATATTACCATACGCCAAATATTCCCTTTTTCCACATAGCACACTCTCCAAGTGTACCGTCTTTCTATTTGTGTATCATCTCACCCACCAGCAACAGAGAGACGACCTTGCCGTGACATTGAAAGGTGTTCCAATCCAATGGTACAAAGAGGACGTTGCTGCCTTCCTCTCTCCTCGCCCACACCCCAGAAGCGCGCCCATTGCTGCAGATGAAAAGTGCTCGTCGCGCTATTCATTTGCTAAATTGTGCGATTTGCACTGTGACAGCGCTCCGGGCACATAAATTAATTTCCTCCTTCACTTCCGCATCGGCGGTGCTGTCTTGACACCGTTTCCGGCGCCAAGGTCGGGGAAAATCAATTCCAACCCCCACACGCACACGGCCTACGCACTCGCACTCGCCACCACCGCAGAAGAGGCGCCCTAAGCCTACCACAACCCCCTTTTTGTTGCGTTTGACTACGCACATCCGCCCTCAGTGGCGTCGGTGTGCGCATCGTCGCACGCACACAGCGACACTCTCGGCTCCTCGGGGGTAAAAATAGCCCCTCCGTGATTCCCACACAAGAGGCCCCCAAGACTCATTGTCACATGGGAGGGCGTGGTGGAGGACAAGTGTCATTAACCCTTTTCAGGGTCTGTCCGAGTCGCCGATGCATTTGGACTTCCTGCATCGGAATCCACCTAATCACCCATTTCAAATGGGTCACGATTATGACAAAGTTGGGGCTTCTCAAGTGCAGAGAAGAAACTACATTTCACCCTCTGGAGAATTGTTAAGAGAGTACAATTGACTTGACAAACTCTCTGCAGAGGCAAAAAGCTCTGATGAGCTGATAATTTACCACTTCAATTTGGAGGTTACGCTTTTTCAGCATATTTCTCAGATTAGGTGTTTCGAAGGTTTTCATAAACATGAAACTTTCACAGCTTCTCTATGGTTCTTTAAAAATCAATTATCTATTAAATCTATGTTTATGCTAAACCTAGGAATGATTCTTCAAAGTAAACACAAGAGAAGTAATCCTGACACTAATGAACAGAGCACGAAAGTGAATTTCAGGAATTTTTATCACGTGATCTCCCTTCCATCTCTTTGTTTCTCTGCCAAGCAAATATAGCAGAGCTGCAATAGAGTCGCCCTGGGAAAACTTCTGGGATATTCCATGAGGAGACAAACACGTCGGAGTTAATATATATATATATATATCGGTGTTAAGAAAAAGCATACACGGCATGCAAGAGGGTATAAAAATAATTAGGGTCGACGAATTAACAAGGTGCAAGGATCTGAGGTCGTGCCGGGCACTCAAAAGAGCGACCATTTCACTATGTACCGGATATTAAATTCCCTCACCACCCAGCAAAGTGGCGAGCGTCGCTGCCAACCACAGAAAATGGTTATTTGGTGTATATCAACATGTTGGGTGGGTAAGTGAGGGAAAAAATTGCTCTCAACACGGGTGCTTTGAGACGGTGAAAAAAAAAGTAGATTATTTTCAGGTCATAATCCAATGTTAAAATGCCATTTTGCAGACACACTTGCGCACAGCGGAGGAAAGGACGGAGGACTGGCTGGAGTGGCAAGAATGTCACACGAGAGGCGAAGAAGTTGAGCAAAAGACCAACAGCATTTTTCAGCGCTA